TGAGAGGCGGATGTCCTGAGAATAGGCCGCCCTCTACGCACTCGCGCGGGCTGTAGAACTTTTGCGACCTGAAAGCGAATAAAGGGAAGTAGACCGTTCTCGTCACTTGCTCGGGAGTTCCAGCGTTCGCCGAAGTGACTCCAACCATGGCTCGATCGGCTGCTAATCGTCTACCGCCTCTCATCAAGATAGTGGTCGTGATTGTTCGAAAAGTTGCTCTAGGCTTATTTCCGGGACAAAGCGATTTTAAATACAAAAAGGGTCCATAAGGAGGAGGACCTGGGCGCAAGCATAAAGTCCATAAGGAGGAGGACCTGGGCGCAAACATAATTTTAATGGGAAAACCAATTAAAAAGCATGTGTCAACGTCGTAGGTGTGACTCCGCATAGCCCTTGCTGCGCAAGAGAACCCCAGTGTGAGCTTCGTATCCTACTTTATAATAAAGTGACAACCAGATGCATCGTATCTATGATAGGTGAAACAAACCTTCTCTGGCATCGCCTCAGTCATAGGAGTTCGGATGAAACCAGGCATCACGGTGTTGACTCTGACGCCTTTTTTTGCCAATTCTTTGCCAACAGTTTTTCCGAAGGCCACTACACCAGCTTTTGTTGCAGCATAATTACACTGACCAAAATTTCCGACCTATAATTATGACTCTATTAATCGCCTTAAAATTCGCTCTTTAAAAGTTTTTCTCTCGAGACCTTGGTTCTTCAAGTATCCTTGTGTCAAAGCCTGTATTCACTATGTCTCAAATGATATCGCGGTGAGGGACCACGGGAATGTTGAGGAAATCCCTGCCACGTTGAGGAAGCGACTCGTATTCGAGATGCGGTCACATGGTACGAACCCTGCCTTAACGTGCTATGCGCGTCACTAGACGCCTCCCAAGCGCGACAACTCGCTGGATTTTAGTGGTTTGGCGCGTTCGAAGGTAGGTTTGTTCAGCTTCGGTGCTCCTCTCCACCAGATTTCCCCCTCCTTCTCCCAAAGCAAGGCGCGCCTCATCTTTCACAACTCAGAAACGCGTTGCATGACACGTCAATGAATTGTGATCGGGCTTAATGAAATATACCCCACCACGGGCTCGAACATGAAATGAAAATGAAATCAACCCATGTTCCTACTTGAGGTGAAACAATACGTGAAATTATAAAGCAAAATAAAGAACAGTACAAATTCAACTGTCCTAGAGAGATACAATAGCCACAAACCTTGCCAACGATAGAAGACACATTTATGACAGAAAGCGGTGTATTCTCCGAAACAGCTGACTTAGCGAATATTTGTGTGATCTGAAGAGGCAGTAGCAGTAAAGTACAAACATCGATAGCTCTTACGCACAAGTGTTGGGATGTTTCCGCAATGTGTTGTGTGTCGTGTGTCGCAAATGAAAAGCCAAGCAATTATAAAGTGAAGCTAACCAAAAATACTCCTTTCAAATTGACCGCGACAACGTCATCAAAGTTCTTCTCCGACATCTTCAATAATGTAGAATCCTGAACCAGAATGGACAAGGTAGAGATGGAAGGTCTACGTATAACTGTATAACTTGAATCCAGTTCTCCCAAGACCGCGTTCAGACTTCGCGATCGGGCCGCGCGCTCCTACTTCAAGGGGTGCACCACCGCAACGGCAGAATTTGAATGGGCTGTGTTCGAACAGCGCCAGTTTGAATTGTGCCGCTGTGGCGGTGCACCTTTAGCGGCTGGGCATGGTAGCGCGATTCAATCCAATCCGAACGCGAAGTCTGAACGCAGTCTACTGCTGCCATTCTCATTTGTTCGCACCACAAGGTTTCGCAGCAGGACCATGCAGAAAAGCTAAGTAGTAGTGTAACTATCCAGTGTTCTCATACCTTCGTTATTCCAGCACAGTTGACCACAATATTAGGAGGTTTTGTATTCTGCTTCAGAACGAACTCGTGAAGTCGCGCAACCTCTTGAGACTAAAGGAATTAAAGAAGCATTGCAAAAAAAAACGAAAAAAAGTAAAGCATATGAAAATGCAGGATTCCCGTAAGTGAAAAAAACAGCGCTACTCCGGTAAGCTGACGCAGTTTGGCACAGAGCACCCAGGCAGGTTCACGAAGAATGACGCACAGTTTAAAACTGAGAGGGTCGTACCCTTGAGGCAGTTCTCCTCGATGCATCTTCCTCTCTCCACAATGAATCCACCCACTACATAATTTGCTACTTCTCTTTGTTTGTCTTTTGTTTGCCTGTCCATAAATTAGGATAAACTTGAAATAAACGAGAGGTCAATTAGGAAGGGTAAGGCATGGCACCAAAGAGCACAAGTAACACATGCTGAACTTCGCCAGCAGCGGGCGGGGTACGCGCTGAAAAGCGGTCTCACTGAAAAAATTTCCTAATGTCGGCTCGAGAGCAGCCCCGAGATAGGGAAAAAGAGGATAAAATTAGCAATGGGTTGAGAAATCAAATGGAAGAGACATATCCGAAACGGTAGGTAAGGTGCGCTTGAAATTGGCGGTGCTTCCCACGAAATTCAGTAGTTCAGTTTTCGAGAAATTTAGGAGATTTAAAAGAAGTCCGTGGAGGAAGATAATTGTCTGACGAGAGTCGAGTTTATGGCGAGAGTCGAGAATATCTGCGATGTACTGAGACCCACCCACAGTGGGCGGGGCGTGCCCTCAGCAGAGGTACTCATCTCAAAAAATTGTATTTCGGTTCTAGAGGAGTAGAGACATAGGAAAAAAAGTGGACTGTTAGCGTGGGGTTAGTGGGTTGAGAAATGTGAGGCACACCAGCTTTAAGACACTCCATTTTGTACAAAAAACTGGCTCATCCACCGCGAAACTTCTTCTTCCTAAGCTCAAAGGAGAAACCTGACACAGTCTTTTTTCGCTTCTTCCAGCACTGAATCCTGAAGAACAGAAACAAAAAACAGGACTACACTAGCCTAGAAAGTGATCCCGCCCTCATTTCGTGGCTTCAAAGGACTCCTTAAGAAAAGTGGAATCATTACAATCCGCACAACTACTGCAACGAAACTCCTCAGCTTACTGAATTAGCGCCTACGATTTTTCTTGGATGGAAATATAGTTTTTTTTATAGAAATGCACAAACCGTACCTTGCTGACATCACAAGAGAAGAAGGTGTGATCTGCCGAAGCGCCTGAAAACACTTTATTTGCCTGTCAGTGCCTGTCAGCTTTTACTGTCAACATGAGACGATTAAAGCAAGTTAGCCCCCGGTTGAAGCGAACTATACTAATAGTTCTTGCCACCTCGAGACTTTCAAATCGGAAGCATCTGTTGTTCACCCAACACGTCAACCACCGAGTTTTGCTCCGTGCTGTGCCAACGCTGCATATTGCACTCGACCCCTGATGCTTTCTCACTGGAACAATAAATATGGAGTGAAAGAAATATCCTGAACAAAGAGCTGACTTTGAACAAAGGTCGGCCGAAAAAGCAGTGTTCACGACAAACCTGTAACCACGGCCAGTTTTCCCGAAAGCATGATTATTACAAGTATGAATATAGAACAAATAAAGGAATATAGTTATAGCAGTAAAAGGTCTATTCGAAATAAACTAGACAGGTCTAATCGCAAACTAAAGGCTCTCACGTACAATAAGACAGCAACTGAAATGAAACCGCTCGGATATTTGTGTGATAACCGCGCGACCTCTGGTCAGCGCCTGATCGGCAGCCGATAAAGAACTTCGATTGGAGTGACAAGTTTGCACCGGAAAAGAGATCGTTCGCAACAAACTTGAGAACTAGGCACTACTCGGGTAGAGTAGCATTTTGGTGAAGGTATTTGAAATCAATACAAACTTTTTTAAGCACTACGGTCAAAAACTTATTGCGGAAAGACAGAGAGGAAGAGCCTCGGGCTTGTTGGAATGGTTCACCTTATCTGGAACTCGTTCCCCCAAAGCTCAATCAATAATCCTCCTTCTCGACAGAAGTAAGCTTTTCTAGATGTCTAAATAATCACAGCACAGCAATACTTAGCTGCTAACTAGCACGAATGGCGTCAGTGAAAAGCCAGCGCCAGCACCCGGTGCCGTGGTTCATCCTAACACTCCATCAAATTACAACAGAGCGCCCCTGCGTTAATTGTAAGAGAGGACCTTAAGTGAGGCGGTCCAACAGAGCGAGTGTCAGGATTTGAACACTTGACCGCTGCAGCAGCCACGTCAAGAACACTCTCTGAATCTGCGGAATGGACTACCTCGAACGAGGAACGACGTCCGACCGTCGGTTTGAGCGCGATCGGGTCTGGAGCGCGGATGGTTATAAAGAAGATGTACTTTGAAGTGCACTGACGGATAATCTGCTCCAACGCGATGTGCGCAACTCAGCTCCAAAAACCCTTCCCTGGATCATCAATGCAAACTTTATCCAAAAGTCCATCTTGTTATTTGTTCCTTTTCCTAAATTTACTAGCACGTTCTTCGTCTTGTTCAAGTACCGGTTCGCAATCCTCACTGTTGCACGACTTAGGTCGTGTTCAATGCTTTGCCCCACTTATCTCCCAACCGGAAAGTCAATTAGCATTAGTGTGTTCCTTTATTAGACCCCAAAGCATAGATTGTAACGTTGGAATGCATCTTTAAATCCCGTTAGTGTGTTCGCTATATTGTGCTGAGAAACGAGAAAGCTTTCATCTCTGCCATTTCAACTCCTTTTATATTTTGCACTAAGTCTTCACGGACTCACCTTGGAGTGTTTGAAGATAAGGTCATGCCTTTTTATGCTTCGACAGCTTCGACAGAGAGTGACTGCCACAGGAAGGTATTGGTATCGACCTGACGTTTTTGGCGAACAGAAGAATCAGCACTTCGGGAGAATACTGTCGCGTAAATCTACACATGGAAAATGAAGGGCGAGTTTCCCGGTGCATCTCACCCAGTTCGTTGCGAGACCACGCGTCCCTTTTACCCCTTGAACGCGTCCCTGTAATTTAGACTACTTCAGCGACCGCGGTTTCTTCGCGGGGTTGTCGCTCTTGTTCTTACTAGTACTACTTGTTTTGTATTCTGATTTTGCTTTGATTACCGAGTAGAGGTGGAGTACATTCACGAATGGTGAACCCAGCCGAGAGGGAAAGAGCTGCTGGGTGGGTGAACCGTTTCAGTTACACATGAGCTCCTTCGACCCCTAAGATTCAACAGAAATATACTTGACCATTTATGGTGGGAAAAAAATGTTTCAAGCGATTTTTAGTACCTTAGTTACTTTGCACCAAACCTCACGCAGCATCAGCGCCCATGAGAGACGTATCGTCAAACAGCGGAACTGCAGTGGAAAAATGTCTGTTCCTGAAATCCACAGCGCTCTTCTTATTAACGAAGCAATAAAAGAGTTATTGATCGGTACCCAAGATGTATTGCGCCCTCGTCCAACAACTTGGAGTCACCACTGCGGAAAACTCGCCCGCCAATTTTCCTAAGTGTATATCCAGGGGAATTGGGAGGATGTATGCCAAAGGTTTGGATGTGTCGTATGGGTGACCGATCCTGCTCGCTAGCGGCTACGACATCTCTAGGCATTTTCTGTGAGGGATTGTTCAAGTCTGCGACCCTGCAATCGGCAAAAGAAGCGTACCCGTGGAATTTTCATACGTACTGTCAGGTGTCTCGACTGACTAAGCGGGCAGATGCGTGAAAAGACAGGAATCTAACTTCAGTATTACCGCCAGGGTACCGTGACCCGGAGCGGCCTCATCAAATTTAACTCCGTAGTATTACACTCATCCCTGAGATGCGGTAGGCGTGGCATTTGTATGTGCATTTAATATTACGAATCGTGGGAGATTTCAGTTCGAGACAAGCGTGATCGTGTTTACTGCTGAACAGAGACACGACCCCAGTTGTGTCAAAATGAAAATATCTCACCAAAAGCACAGCCGTTACCACGTTTGGCTGAAGTACACAACAACGCCCACCACATCTCAGATATATATCCCTTTATCTTATCCCCAAGCGTTGAAAGGGATCGTACTTATGAACAACACATTCTTGACTTTTTTTTAGTAGCGATGCCGCATGGCGCTTGGCATCAGTTTGGATAAGCCACTGCGTGTGGGACGGAATTTTTCGAAAAAGTACTGTACTGGCTTCGCTCCAGGACCTGCGACCTTACTTCTGACACACTACACGGGTTTACAAAGTGGCCTAAATTCGGGTGCAATTTCTTCTACATTCGAGAAGTTGAAAGACGTTTATTAGAAAGATTATGAAGATAAATCTGATAAAATGTTTCGCCTCTT